TATGTAGTCTTAATATTATGTAGTCTTGTGTACACTAGTATGCTTTTTCTTTTGTTTCCTAGTTCATTTTCTTAGTGTTACATTGATACGTTTTTACATTACAAGCAGGGCCCTCCTGAATTGCTTTGTATTGCAACTATACTGTCTCCCTTTATTTTATGAAGTGCTGCACAAACTGTTGGCACTATATAAATCCTGTATTATTTTAATAATTGTCTCTATTGAAGATTCTGGGGGAAGGAGAGTAACTAGACATTGTGTTGTTTAGTATGGAGTTATGGGTGACTTTGGTGCGTGAGGCTTGAAATGCCTCCTCAGCATGGGATTAGGGCTGCTCCATATTGTTATTGTAGTGAGCTTGGGCTGTTAGTCTCTTTAGCCTTGTCCTTTTTTGTCATCCATATAGGGGTGGTGGTGGCCCCAGCATGTCACATCCCAGTTTGCTTGACAGACTGGATGAGAGTTTCCAGCACATCTAGGTTTTACTGCCTGTGAATCTCCTCCATCTTTCTCATTTAATACTGTCCACCATTTTACACACTGTCACATATACACATGCTGAGAGAAGCCAATATGGCTACTTCACATTACAATCAAAGTTGCATGCTTTTGGAAGTACAGCAATTATTTCATTTTGTGTCACCTTACATGTGACAGCTGAGTGATGGGTATACATGAGTACCTCATTATCCTGTCTGCGTCCCACATTGTGGTAGGCTTGTTAGGAAGTCGGTCAGCTTTTTATGTTTGTTAGATGAGTTTGGAGTGTTTATTTTATTTTTTATTCCTTTTAAGTGGTATACAAGACATAACCACACTATAGCTATTAATTTTGGGTATAAGTTTTGTTTTATTGCTAGCTGTAGCGTCATTGTGTTTGAAATGTCTGCAAGCCTTATTGAGGAAGTCTGTTGGGAGCTGCATTTGCATTTTTTATTACCTGCCCTGTAGGAGAGGGATGCTTTTTTTTTTTTTTACAGTATTCAGATGTAAAATGTAATTCAAAAATGCCCTGTGGCTGATCAACCTTTTAAAGGTTAAGTCCACCTTCTACAAAAAAAATAATAAATGCCCCTGCTGATAATGCATGTTTTTTTTGTTTTTGCATTGGAGCCAGCAAAGCATTTCAACTGCGATCAGTGGATCACTGGTGCAATGCTCTGGCTCCTGCAGACTCTTCCTCCAGTGTCATTGACTTGAGGTCTCTGACAGTCTGCCTTCATTTCCTCTGTGGTGTGTGAGAGACAAGATGGCTGCACCCAATTAGAGTAACTGGTTCTTTGGGTGTGAGAATTGATCAAAGTGTGTGTGTGTTTATGCATCATCGAGTTGCTTATAAGCTGAATAGTTGGTAGTGGTTGTTGTAAACAATGGCAAAGAAAAGGGTTGCTTTCAAAACCCTTGTGAGGGGAATTTTAAGTATGGTCCCCTAAATCATTCTTGGATTCTCAAAATATTTTATGGGGTCCCTCCTATAAAATGCAGCAAACATCTCTGATTTAAGACTGAGCGCTAATATATTTTTGGTAACATGCTTTTAAAGGGGATCTCTCATTCGGTAAAATACCTGTAAGAAACTGCAGATGAAAGCTGCCATCTTTGGATGCTTTGGCCATGCTCTGGTCCCAGTGAGGCAATTTAACTCCATGTTAAGCAGAGCTAGCATGCAGCCAATAATCAGAAAAAATAGGGTTCCTGTGTGAGCCATTGCCCGCTATTATTTCTCTTTTTGATGGATGGCCCCCTTACTGAGGATTGACCGATATTGAGCACAGGTTTTAGCTACATTCCTTCCCATTATGGCTTGGTACTTCAGATATAATGGTGCTTTATGACAGACTTGGTCTTCCATGTAAAGAATGGTGGAAGGGTGGGGGACTTTCTGTTGTTGATTGAGTACAAGCAGAGAAAACGTGTTCCATGGTCTGTGCTGACTTGTGCAAGGAAAGGCTGACCATACACTAGGCAGATTTATAGCAATTCCATCCTGCGTTTTTTCCATAAAAATGGGTCAAGGAAACCTGCCACCAGCAGCTTTTATCAAAACCATTAGCTGATCAAACCTGTTAGTGGTAATGTGCCTTGATCGGTTCAGTCATGTTTGTGGTGAAAAGAAGGTTGAAAAATTGCCTGGTGGATGGCTAGTGATATACCAGAATTGCAGATTGGATTCTGAAATGGCTGTTCTAAATTGTCATTGTGTGTCAGCTGTGCAAGGGCTTTCCTGATGGTGGCTTATTTCCCTTAAGGTGCCCATACACCTTACAATTATCTGCAGATTTTCTGTGGTCAGATGGAAAAAGTGCAACAGATTGGCCCAGGTGGAGATTCCTCCATCCACACAGTTAAGTGTAGATGGAGGAATCTGTTGCACCTTTTCCATCTGACCATAGAACATCTGCAGATAATTGTAAGGTGTGTGGGCAGCTTTATGTTCTGTCTTTAAGGGGAGTCATGAACAAATCTAGGAAATCAGGTGGCCAGTGCTTCTTTAGAATTATAGCTGGTTCTTCATGAGACCCTGTTTTTAATTGTGAAAGCTTATATCCTTGTGTCTATACAATTGCCGTTGCTTGTTGAACTGCCTCGCTGGTTATTTTTTGCATCCTTTTGATAATTTACATAAGGTCTTTTCATATGTGTTATTGGGGTGTTACTCTAATTAGCCTCTTGCATATGTCATCTATGCCATTGCAACTTAGGCCTTCGATCACACTACCAATGACAAGCCTGTGTTTATAGGACATTTGTAAACGCATATAAATGTTATGATTTATGGCATTCACACTGTGCGTTTACCTTTTTTTTTAGGTGGATTTAGTTTAGCTGTGTTTTAGTGAACATAGAAATCTGTGCGTCCAGGGGCAGGTTATATACTTTGAACACGCCTTAACATA